CTCGTCCGCCAACTGGAAAGCCTCCCTGCTGCGCTCTTCAACAGCCCTTCTGCAGTGGGAACTCTTTACCCAAAAAATACTCCCTAAGAGATACTACCAGATAGTAGACCCCTCTATCTACTAATATAGTTAGATAGATGGATAGACATTGATAGATAGATTGTGACATGCAATGCGTATATCGATGGATGGTGTTTATTAGCTTTCATGAAACTTGACAATTTTAGGCGTACACATATTTACATATAAACATGGATAAACCTACTGATGAACGTTGATGTAAATCCATTTAGAAGAAAATGACAGTATTCCACCCACATTACTCATTATTTTTTAACAGGAAATCTCTAACCAACATATTTGTAAATAGCCCATGCTATATCATATCCAGAATGTTTGAAAATAAGGAATTAAAACCTCTTGTTATCTTGTTTATCTTGTTACACCTTCATTCTGAATACTCCTTGGACAAGTAAGAAGTACCGTTGGTTTAGTATTTTTTACAGGGTAATCATATAGTAATAGGCCACCCAGATTTTTTTTTTACATAGGTACGATTATTGAACGAATAGTTTAATTAAACTAGAAGAGTTATTGTCATCTCAGCTTATATATTTTATGCAATTTTGATGAAGATTCCACTACTGAAACCTCAATGAATAATCTTATCTTAAGAAATAATTACCAACTTCATTCTCTTAGCAATATTGTCACAATTATATCTGTTCACCCTCAAATGATTGCAAAGTCTAACAAACTAACGAATTCGAACATTACATGTATGGTGACTTATGGTTAGTTATAGAGCTAAGTACACTATGGAGGTAATGCGATGACCATTTTGATTGAATTGGCAATATCAGCTTGGAATGACGTGCGTCTCTCTCTCTCTCTCTCTCTCTCTCTCTCTCTCTCTCTCTCTCTCTCTCTCTCTCTCTCTCTCTCTCTCTCTCTCTCTCTCTCTCTCTCTTCTCTCTCTCTCTCTCTCTCTCTCTCTCTCTCTCTCTCTCTCTCTCTCTCTCTCTCTCTCTCTCTCTCTCTCTCTCTCTCTCCTCTCTTCTCTCTCTCCTCTCTCTCTCTCCTCTCTCTCTCTCTCTCTCTCTCTCTCTCTCTCTCTCCTCTCTCCTCTCTCTCTCTCATCTCTCTCCTCTCCTCTCCTCTCTCTCTCTCTCTCTCTCATCTCTCTCCTCTCTCTCTCTCTCTCTCTCTCCTCTCTCTCTCTCTCTCTCTCTCTCTCTCTCCTCATCTCTCTCTCTCTCTCTCTCTCTCTCTCTCTCTCTCTCTCTGTGATGTGTGTGTGTGGTGTGTGTGTGTGTGTGTGTGTGTGTGTGTGTGTGTGTGTGTGTGTGTGTGTGTGTGTGTGTGTGTGTGTGCACGTGTGGTCAGTATGAGGAAGAGCAGGACGGACTCGGCGGCGGTGCATATCCCAAGCCAGTTTCTCTTTGCACTCTGGGCGCGATACCTGGGCAGGACGATCGCCAGATAGAGATAAGGGTAAGCTGACCAGAGTCACCGAGTTCTAGCGTTGGCTCCCGATGGTTTCTGATAACCATGCACGCGGCTATGCACACGAACTTGTATATGCACACGCGCGCTCTCTCACGCGCTTTCTCACTTTCTCTCTCTCTCTCTCTCGCTTCCATCTCTTTCTTTTTCTTTCTTTCTCTTTCTCTTTCTCTTTCTCTTTCTCTTCTCTTTCTTTCTCTCTCCTCTCTCTCTCTCTCTCTCTTCTCTCTCTCTCTCTCTCTCTCTCTCTCTCTCTCTCTCTCTCTCTCTCTCTCTCTCTCTCTCTCTCTCTCACACACACACACAAACTTGCAAATCATTTAAATCATAAACTACGCAACAAGTCAAATAATTCCATTGTTTTTGGCAAGAACTTCCAGTATCTTGCAATGTGAATCTTTCCTGGAGAATTGTTTACATTTTTCATACCATAAAATAATAGTGCTAACTGTGACATTTCTCTCGACTGAAGATTTATTTATATTCATTAGTTTATTTTTTATCATGACTGAATGTGACTTGTTCAACATTTCTGTGAATTTCTTTGGGTTTTCTTAGCGCCATGATGTTATTCATTCTCATTTACATGTGTATACACGCACACATCTATCTATCAATCTATAAAAATACACACACACGCACACACACACACACACACACACACGCACAGACACACATATGGATAGATAGATACATAGATAGGTACGCATATACGTATGTATGAATGAATAAATAAATATATATATGTATATACATACATACATACATACACACACACACACACACATCACACACACACCACACACACACACACACACACACACACACACACACACACACACACACACACACACACACACACACACACACATACATACACACACTGTGTGTATGTTTATATATGTGTAAATATACACATCTTATATGTATGTTATATATAGAGATATGGATATGTATATATTTTTATATATATAATCATATATATATATATAATATATATATATATATATATATATATATATATAGAGAGGAGAGAGAGAGAGAGAGAGAGAGAGAGAGAGAAGAGAGAGAGAGAGAGAGAGAGAGAGAGAGAGAGAGAGAAAGAGATGTAGATAACTAGATATAGACACATTGTTTTCAATTCTAAATACCATTATTTAGGCTCTGCATGTCAGCGCATCCAGGTATTCCATCATTCATCTTTACGATAGC